GTCACCCTTGACTTCTTCCTTTCTGACCCAGTCATTGATGTCTGCAAACTGTCTGCAGAATTTTTGCCCATCTTTCTCCATCTCGATTGCAGTTACCTTAATTCGTGTCCTTTGTCTTGTATGCTCAACCAAGACCATCCCCTACGGGCAAACTCCTAAGCCACAGATTTTGAGCCCTTTGGTTTTAGCATTGCTGAATAAGAAGTGCAAGCAGAAGAAGGGATGAATGTCTCAGGCAAAAAGGGGAGAAGAATCTAGAATTTAGAGGGAATTCACTGGAAGTGTATCAGAAGGAAGAAAGCAAAATAGGAGTATTTCCTATGTTGACTTTCACCACCTTGGGCATATTCAATTTTCTTTTTATGTTTATGTTCTATTTTGTCTAGCAAACAATTACTCTGCTTCAGTCTTCTCTGCTCCCTAATTTAGCCTTTCTATAGTAAATTGGGTACTTATAGGGAAAAACCAACATTCACTGTTTAACAAGTCCATTAAAGCTTGTGTAATTAGAGCATTCATTAGGACTTTAAAAGTGCTTATATTTAAAATCACAGGGCAAGGCAGGAAGGGAGGTACAGTGACCTGAGTGAGCTAATATGCTTGGTTTTCTTATTCTTTCTGAAACTAAACTTATTATCAGCTATGTATGCCCTTGGATAAACTGTTCCACTTAGTCAAAGAATGAAAGGATGTATTTCACATGCTGTTTTATGAAAGGATTACAAGACAAAATACAAGTGTCAATTTGGAAAACATACTTGCTTACAATTGTATTTTCCTGTTCTCTACTCCTCCTGAGCTGGAGAAAATGGGCAAAAAAGTTATTAAAAGCAGCGTACTCTGCCTTGAGGGCACTGCTTCTATCAAACACCCAATTCTTGTGAGCCAATGCTAATCCTCTATTTGAAGGATTGCGTGTGGAGGGATGACAGCCATGTACTGTTTTCCTATGCGGGATAGCTTTACCTGTGACAGGCAGTATCAGACAGTGTGAGTGAACCCCCATGCTTGTGTGGGCATGTCACTGGACTTGTCACCAGCCCAGACTTATTTGTGTACATGGTAGGTTGCATGAGAGAACTGGTTCCACTCATTACGCTATTGGATTGGTAACCTCATGACTTGTTGGCAGCATCTGTGAGATCCAGCTCTCATGACTCCGAAGCAGATTTGTTTATTACCTCAGATTTTTCCAAAGAACACCTATGGGTGTTAAAAGGTTAACAGGTTTTGTGATCAAATATATTTGAGAGACA